GAGGGTTCTACGTTTTTATCGAAGCGGTCATAACCTACTATTTTGTGGGGTTTGGGGTGTGGGGTTTAGGGTCCAGGGTTTAGGGCTATTTGGAGGTTCAAGGTACTTTCAGCCCAATATTCACTGCACTTGCAACCACATGGGAACCTAACACATGAAGACTGTAAGGGCGAATATTACAAAATGATATATGTATTAGAAACTCCGAACCAAGGAAGGGCTCACGGTGAAAGCTGGATTTGCTATGGTGCAAGCCTGAATGCCGCACTCGTGAGCAATATTGGTCCTTACCAGTGCTGCTGCTCGGCTCAATAGAAACTTGGAACCAAACAGTGCCCATTCTGAAACCCTTTTACGGCCAATGTAGCTAATAGGGGACATGGACCTTCATAAACTCTTGTATAGAAAAACCCCACCGGGCCCAAATAAGACCTCGATGAATCCCTCACAGGCAGGCACTGGCATCTTCATATGCAAATCTCCGCAGCCGGTGTCGCAGGTATTCTCATGCTGCCTGAAGACGGGAATACAGATCTTCCAGGTGCGGGACTTCACGCTTACGTATACAGTTGAGAGAATGGTGTTTAGGGCTTGTAAGGTTGAGAAGTTGAGGTAAATTGCGTTTACGGCAACGATCTTGTGACGAGCTCCTGGGGGCTATGGTCCTTGAGGCATAGTGACCCCTACGGTAGGGGGTTAAGGGACTGTAATTCCTTAAACAAGCCTTATATTATGTCCTTGTTATAGGCCCCCTACCCTAGGGGTCCTTATGATTGAGGCTCAAGGCTTCGGGGGCTCAGGGACGCTAAGGGGGGTTTTAGAGTTTAGGGTTTGGGGTTTACGGTTTAAGGAGCCTTCCGACGAAATCTGTGCAGCAAGATGCTCCCCGACGAGGGTCAGGCAGTTCAGGAGATCAGTTTGGAAAGAGGCTTTGTAAACCCTAAACCCTAAAACCCCAATCCCCAAACTGCGCGGCTCTTCGAAGAGTCTTCCCTCAGAGCCCTGAGTAGCATGCGCTTGTTTAATCGTCGCCCACATCGGATCGACTGTGGCGTTTTCTACTTGCAGAGGGCACGACTAGCATCCCCGCCCTTCGACGAATCAGAGGGTTTAGTATACTGGCCTTAATAGTTAGAGTAGGGCTCCTTCAAAGGGGTCCTATAAGGGTCACAATGGGGTTATTATAAGGCTGCTATAATATATAGGGGCCTTCATTATTAGAACGGGGTTTTGGGGCCCATTATACTATGAGTATAATAAGGAACCCTAAGAATATGGGTAATTATTTAAGCCCCTATTTTAGCAGGAGCCGTTGGATGGCATCGGGACGTACGAGGTCAAATGCTTCAGGGCTTTTAACCCTCCGTAGTAGGCAAAATAATGGACCGTTATGCTACATTAGGGTTTAGGGTGCCCAGTCTGTAGCACGGCACAGGGCTTCGAATCTACCAACTTCAATACTTAGCATCTGAACTGCCACCAAACTCGCAGCTGAGATGCCACTGTTCCATCTTGGCCATGAAAGTCGGTAAGTGTTCCTTGACGTACCTTGGCAGTCCGTTCCCAAAGTGTGCTAGGTACTACAGTAGGGTGTAGGATTTCTGTGTTAGGAATCGGTATTATGACACGTACCTACGACCCCTCTGGGGGGTTCCAGATCCATTAAAAATTCCGCTCTGGAAGCACCACCCTGCTCCATAAGGCTCCATGGACCTACATAGTATTAGGCCTTCAAGGGGGTCCCAAGAAAAAACGTAGTTACTACAATAAGGCCTGAGTATATAGTATGCAAGAGGCCGGTAAAGACAATACTATACAGGCACTTTAATGCCTAAGTATATACTTTAGGTACATGGGCCCTTAGGGTTATAAGACAGTTTGTCATCTTTATGCGCTCAGCCACAGTGCACACTGTTCTGCAACGATGGTTTCCGCTTGAGCTCGTGTGTAGAGAGCCTATAGAGTTTTGAGCGAATAAGTCGTGGAATGCATCCAGGCGCATGAAATTAGACTAGTGGTTAATTATACTATATAAAGTGGAACCCTGAGGACCAACATTATTGATACTTATAACTCATAAAAGCATCGAAATTTCGCAAATACTAAGCTGGGAAGACTGTTGTAGTCTCCTCAAGTGCTCGGACTTGTCACGAACCCTTGGGGAAACTCCGGCCTTTTCCCACCTCGACGTCATATTTGTGCATTAGCTGCTACAGGGACTGAGACTCAAGGTACTGAGCCTCAAGATCTCATTTCGAAACCCTTACCCCTATATAATATAGGGACCTTAATAATTAGAATAAGGTTTGGGGGCATATTATACTAGAACTATATTATACTAGAACTATAATAAGGATACCCCCCCACAAAATAGTATAGGTAACAATTTATACGGCCTCTATAGTAGACCTTGTTTGGGGACTCAGGAGAAGGTCCTCGCCCAGGGTTTAAAATTTGGCAATGCCTTGGGTTACAAGAGCTCACAGCACGTAGGGGACGTGTAGCCCTAGCTACTTAGAGGATCCTAGTTCATGGTTGGGATAAGATTAAAAATGTACATTTGTATTCTTTTTGGGCTTAAATATCCATAAAAATGTAAAATGTTACCCAACTATGACAGAGGGTCATGGGACTCAGTAACTAGGGATATAAGTAGGGTATAACTATGCTTATAACTACGTATAACCCCAATAGTCCAATGATCCTCCAAGTATGTCTTGCTTATGACGTGGTCTGAGGTTTCAAATACTGTATATAGGACAAGCCCATGGTGGGTCATCCGAAACCTTAAACCCCTAAGTGCCTAAACCTGAAACCCTGAACCCGACCTACGGATCCAGCAGCCTACTCGTTAAAGGTTGTGCCAAAGAATTACGGCGTCATCACCTACTACTTCCAAGGGTTTGGAGGTACTGGTAGACCCTAAACCCCAAAAATCCTGTAAGCTCCGATAAAACCCCTAAACTCCAAACTCACTCACTCACTCGCGTTGCGGACAATCCGGAGCGTCTAAGCATGCAAACCCAAAAAATGATCACTTCTGTAGCGATCACAGGGAAACAAACCTAAGAAACGGCTGTCCCCTAATCCCTAAAACCCTTTATGAACCAGACGTATGTAAACGAAGGGGCCCAATGGAGGGAAGCTTTGCCAGGCACTGCTGCTGCAGCCCCTCTTTGTCCTGGCTCGCGGTTTCTGTCAGGTTTTAGGGTTTACCCTTTTTCCAAGCACCATTATCCCTAACACAAGCAGCGGCAGGGTTCAGGGTCTAGGGTTTGCAAGGGGGCATTTGGAATGGGATTAGGTCTAGCTTTGAGGGTTGTATGGGGAAGATCGCTATGTGTGGGCTCATCTAAGCGTTGCTACAAGGCGTTATGCAAGGGTTCCGGTGTGGGCTTGCGGGTTTTTTGAAAGTTATAGGATCCGTCGCCCGCTGCCGACAAGCAGAACTTCCTCAAGCGGAGTCAGGCCGTGCCTTGGCACAAAAAAGTTAGAGGATGCGTTAACTTACGGTTGATGATACAAACCCTGCATTACCTTGATGACCCTGGACTATGGGAATTTGGGTTTGCAGGAGTTTCCGAAAATTGGGGTACGTTATTTTGGTGTCCTTATGATAAGGATCCGACTATTTAGGGTACTATATTGGGGTCCCCTTTTTCGGAAACCACCATATTCCTTATTCTGGGTACTGCAGGACTTATATCATGAACCGTAGTCTGCTCCAAGGAAAGCTCAATCCTTGAGCCCGTCCTTGGCATAGCGGTGTTGGATCAGAGCTTCCTGCTGCAAACCCATCTCTTCGTACTTCGGGTACTCGGGGTACGGAATCTGGAGTTGGTACCTGCACCAAGCTGCTACAGTTTCGGATTTCCGGTTTCGGGTCTTTGGGACGTGGGTTAGTAGGAGCTTGGGCGTAGCGTTGCTACATATATGTGTATGAAGTTGGCACCTGGACCAAACTCGTATGGGAACTTTCGAAAATAGCGGACCCAAAAATATCGTACCCTAAATAGTAGGATCCTTATGATAATAAGGACCCCAAAATGAGGTACCCCTAATTTTCGGAAACGTGTTAAGCAATTAGACTTTTGGCTGGCAGTCGTGTATAATGAATGCTGCGAAAGCTCGCTAAAATAATTAGGGTTTAGGGTTTACCCTGAACCGAAACACTAAACCCTCAAAACTTAAATACAAACTCTTAACCCACAGCCGCAGTGGGCACGCGTCGTCGAACTTGCCGTTCTCAATCTTCAGGACGTCGCCGGGGTCGAAGTCACCCGGAAGTAGCTCCCGAGCACCTCCACTATAGGGCTTAGGGTTTAGAGTTTCGGGTTACGGAGTTTAGAGTTTAGAGTTTAGCTTAGACAAGTCTATAACAGAAACCCCTGAAGACCCTGACCCTAAACCGGGCCCTTAAACCCGAAACCTAAAACCCTTCAGTTATAAAACCCCTAAGCCCTAGATACCCAAAACTTCCTACAGCCGAAGCTTCTTTCGACCATAATCCTTGGGCCCTAGGCCTCAACGTAACCCTAAACCCCTAAACCCTAAACCCCTAAACCCTAAACCCTAAACCCTAAACCCTAAACCCAAAAACCCACAACGTCTTTATGGACTTCGAGCTCGTCAAGGGCTCCTTAAAGGGATCTATAGGGTTCCTTAAAGGGATCTATAGGGTTCCTTAAAGGAATCTATGGGGTTTAGGGTTTAGGGTTTACTTAGAGGATCCTCCAACAAAAAAACACCGAAACTCTCCTAAAAGTTCGTCGGCTTAAGCGGCCTGTATGGTTTAGGCGTTGAGGGTTTAGTAAGGATTAAATTAGATAACGTTTAGGGCTTCGGTCTAAAGAGCCATTCGGGCTTAGGGCTTAGTAAGGTTTAGGGCTTATTAGGGTTCAAAGTTTGTTCGTTTTTTTTGATAAGTCGGGCTTCAGGCTCCAACTCGTTCCAAGCCGGGAAGGGTGCCGTGGAATACGTACTCAGGGAACCTCAGGCAGGCCTTGGGGATCCCTGATATGGGGGCCTTTATAATCAGCATAGGGTTTGGGGACCCATTATACTATAAGTATAATAAGGAACCACCACAATAGTACAGGTAATTTTCTAGGCCCCTATAGTAAGCTTTAGGGCTGAGGCTGAGGCTTTTAGGTTTAGGGTCAAGGTCAAGGGTTCTACGGCTCTACGGTTGATGATATAAATCCTGCATGACCCATTAATAAGGAATATACTATAATTCCCATGGTTTAGGGCCATTAAGGTAATGCAGGATGTATATCATCAACCGTATGACAGCCTGTGACACCAGCCCATGAAGGATCCGGAAGTTGAAGGGTTTGTAGTTAGGGCCAGACCTCCAACTTGATGTGACCGCTGAACTCACCCATCTTAGGCTCTCAGAAAGAAAGGCTGAGGATTTGGATTCAGGATTTTGGGGTGTGGGTTTGGGGGTTCTGAATCTCAGCACCCGCACAGACTTTACCCAAACAGCAAGATCCTCCTTACAAGGTCCCGACGTTTTCGGAGAACCCGGAACAGCTTAACCGCATCTTAGAAATCCTATTGTAAAACCCGGTAGGTTGTGGCTACGGATGTCCTGGAAATCGAGTGACTTGGGCCATCAACTCACAGCTGAAACGATCTGCCGTAGGTATTTCTTTCGGTATCGGGGATAACTACGGGTTTTGGTTTAGCTCCGGCCGCAACTGAGATGTCAGAGTCAGAATGAAGTTGGAAGCTTGCGATCTCGACTTCAGGAGTTGGTATCTATGCCTGGATACTGACTTGCATCGCCTCCTGGAGAATGCTGGTTTATGGTCAAGCTCCAACTGCTGCTGCTACTAACTACAAGTACTACGTATTACTACTACCACTACTACTACTACTACTACTACTACTACTACTACTACTACTACTACTACTACTACTACTACTACTACTACTACTACTACTACTACTACTACTAAGACGACTACTATTCCTACTATGACATGAAAATGAAGTAACCTAGAAAATAACTACCCTAGCAGAATAAGGCAGGCCCCCACCAGAATCCCTCACGCACACACTCACACACGCAGAGACAAAGGGGTTCCATATATCCGTATAGCATACACCTTGGCCCTGGAACTAACTCACATGCGAACCCCATCAAGGCATAGGAATATACTGTATACTGTGTAGATGGACACAATGATGAACCCCGTAAGCTCCTGCTAAAAGCCACTAACAAACCCTGAGAAGTACATTAGTAAGCCCCATAAAGCCTAGGCATAAGAAGTTCGATATAAACCCTCAGAGCCACGAGCAAACCCTTGGGAGAATTGGTATCAGTAACCTTACATATTCACCTTAGAAACGACCTTTTGAAATCCTTCGTTAGAATACCCTAACAAGGGAAGAGCCCCACCTGACATGTAGTTCGATCGGTCAGAGACCTGGCTCGTGACGCTGCCGTCCCTGGCCAACTTTCTCTCGGGTTTTGGGGTTTATGGATCTGAGGGTTCAAGGGTTTGTGGTTTACGGCTCTAAGGGTTTAGGCGGTTTGGGGTATAGGGTTTAAGAAAGTTCAGTGGAAGAAGATCGCGGTGATGGCGGCGGCGGTCGTGGTGGTGGTCGTCGCAGCAGCAGGGGCAGCAGGGGCAGCAGGAGGAGTAGTAGTAGTAGTAGTAGTAGTAGTAGTAGTAGTAGTCGTAGTAGTAGCAGCAGGGGCAGCAGGAGTAGTAGTAGTAGTAGTAGTAGTAGTAGTAGTAGTAGTAGTGGTAGAAGAAGTAGGCGGCGTAGGCAAGGTGCGAGCAGGAGGATCCAGGACTAGGGGGAGGAGCTTGGCATTTTTTGAATTGAATAGTGAGTATCCTCTTGAGTCTCCATCTTCCGCGTTAACAAGACGTCTGACTTGAATATAATATCAGTAGCAACTAGGTTTATTTCTCCAAACGACGTTTCCGTGCCTGAAGCCTCCTGAAAACGTGAACTTACATGCTGCCCAAGGTCCGGTTCATCTGCAGAGGGCCGTCCCAGACCTGCATGGAGTTTAGCAATCTGCAAAATCAGACTCGCACTGGAGGGCTCTAGAACTGGAAACCCCGAAACCATGCTCGCGGCTTACATCTGTAAGAGAGGCTCAGGCGGAACTAACCTACGTCATGGGACCCGATTGTCGGGTCTGGCATGACCAGATAAACCAGACAAACTTGTAAGATGCAAGCATGTCAATGCTTTCTCTTGGCATCATTAGACCCTGTAATGTGCCGAGCCACTTGCACCCTCCGGCACTTGCAGTCCACAAGCACACGACCAACTCACGAGAAACCAGATAAAGTTTAGGGTTTAATTAGACGGCTTGCCGTAAGGGCTGTCTTTAGTAGGAAGGGTTGGCACAAGGGTGCCGGGAAGGTTCATATGAGACCTTTCAACAACCTTCGAGCGCCCTGTGCAGAAAAAAACATCAAGCCCTGTGTAATATCCGACAGAGAGCATGGATTCCCGCAGCACTGATTTTTACAATGGCTGGGACTGGTTATGCCAATGTGGGTTAAAACGTAGGAGCGCTGGCACATTCGGGTCTTTACAAGACCTTCGTTTCTCAGGGTCACAGATAGTGGAGCCTCTTTCTTAGAAAGCTTCCATCCAGACACATACGTAACCTGTTTCAGTGGCTCGTGGTTCGTCCACAAGCCCTCCATTCCTAGATCCTTCAGTTATTACAAGCTCTAAGTACAAAACCTGAAACTACAAGCAGTCTAGACTCTCAACCCCGGAACCCATCCCCCACGAACCAACCTCGCTGCTTGAAGGATCAGCGAACTCTGTTCGTAGGCTGTCAGTAGGCGAGTAAGTGATGCATTCCGAGTCCCCTAATTCCGCCCTACTTGGGTTGCAGTACTTAGGAACCCTACTATAGGGGACGAAAGACTTACCTGTACTATTTTGGGGGGTCCCTTATTATAGGTATAGTATAGTGGGCTTCACCACCCTATTCTATTTATCAAGGCCCTATATCAGAGTACCCTTATAGTATCCCTTATCGGCCCCTTTGAAGGAAACCTTATTCTAGTTATTTGAGGCCCCAAAATGACCCTTCCAGTCCCCCCGACACTCTCAACTCTGATGAGGCGCCATCACCATCAGGGCGGCAAACTGGGAGCAAAACATGTTCTTGAACTTTTCTGTCTCCTCCGAAAGCAGGACTAGTTCATGGTTGGGATAGGACTAAACATGCAAAGCTTTATTCCTTATTGGGCTCATATCATACATATCCTGCATTACCTTCAGGACCCTAAACTATGGGATTTATGTCATATTCCTTTTCATGGGTAACGCAGGATTTTTATCATCAACCGTAGGTACCCGAGCCCACTAACTCCAGGAGTACCTAAAGATATACCATGAATGAGAGATCTTCTAACTTAAGCTCGCTTGCTTCATAGCACGTTTTGCCACCCCCTCCGACATTATAGGTTTATCGGGGCTTATACTGCTTTCTGGACAATTTTCTGCATTATCTGGAATTGTGCAGAATCTCAAACCTCGGATGAAGACGCGAGGGTCTATTAGCTTATAAGCCCAAGCATTTCGGAAGTCGGATTCGTCGTGTAGCTTCGGATTGTGGGCTCTATGGACTTGCCTCGTGTCGTCGACGGGAACTCTTGCGGCTCAACGTCTTGAGGGTTTCAAAGTCTCTTCTGAAGTCGTGTCTCACACCGATAAACCTTTGGTGTTACAACTTGTACAAAGGATCGCACGACTTGGGGTCTACATATCCGCACGCTGCACCTCTGTGCCCTATCATGTTGACAATTCCTCCAATACAACGTGTGTGTGAGACAGAGAGTCACGGCGGTCTTTTCAACTACAAATTCGTCGAGGAATTACGCCTGAAACATAAACCCAAAACGTTGAACACCCCCAAAGCCTAAACCCTAAACTCTCTGGGTATTTGGGCTTACGGATGGCAGGGTTCAGCTGTGAGGCTTTGGGTTTGGGTTCTGGCTTGGGGCTCCCAATCCGAAACCCTCCGCCCCTTTCAAGGGTTTAGGGTTTAGGGTTTAGGGTTTAGGGTTTAGGGGACCTCCGCAATACCAATGCAGCCCAGACCTAAACCACATTGCTGCATGTTTTGTCTGACTTGGGTTTTGCGGTTGCCTAAGACATACTCTTGGAAGGACCCCACCAAGGAGCCCTAATGTGGCGAACTACCATGTCCAAGCCCAAGCATGAATTCACTCACCTGTGGACGTACGACTTACCCCTAGGGTCCGTAACCAAACAACACAAAGTAGTCCCTGTCTAGGCACTTTCGCAGCAAAGTATACTAGGTAAACCCTACACCCTAAACCCCTAAAAGTTTGGCCCTAAACCCTTAAACCGACCGTTACGACCACGAGGCCCCGAGATTAGACTTCTTTTTACTGCGCTCACACACACCTGGAACTAGCCTGATTTCTGCAGGTAAGGGTTTGCGGTTTAGGGGGTTCTTTTCTGCTCAGGTTCACGCATGAGCCTGATATGGAAAGCCCTAACAATTGGACTTGAGGAACCTACAATATACTGCTCAAGTTACAAGAATAAGGGAACATGAATAATAGTGTTGGCAATTAACTGGGCCCTTTGTGATGAAACAACATTATAGACCTAAAATATAAGGCCAAAAAGTTTAAAATTCACCCGTTCACTATCTAAGTTGGAGGGTTTTAGTGCTTTTCGGTTTGGGGTTTCTATAGGGTTGTGCACATAGCTGTGTTTGCGCGTTGCCATTTGGGCTTGGGTAAGCGCAGGCCGGACAATGCAAGCCTCCATCAATGTCAACGATTTACAATGACCAAGACTCCCAAGACATCGAGACTGCGAACGCTACAGAAACAGCAAGACTAAGCATTGAGTTCCCGTCATGGACAATGAGGGCTGTACCCTGATAACTCCATATATCACCACAGAGCCCCTTTTTCAGGGTCCAGGGTTTCTGGTTTAGGGTGTTGGGGGTCCTTGACTAAGGAGTATCTCTAAAGATCATCGCGAGATGCCCTCTGGTCCAGGAACAGCCTGTGATCGAAGAGCGATAGGGTTGATGATGTTAAAAATCTGCATGACCCTAGACTATGGGAAGTATGGTATATTCTTTATTACGGGTAATGCAGGGTTTATACCATCAGCCCTAATTAAGCCCTAAACCCTAAACCTTTACACCCTGATTTTTTTGGGGGATTCCACGGCGGAAGCACCTCCCGGGTAGACTTCGTCCACGCCCTGTAGAACTTTCCCAGGAGCGACTCCTTAGGGCGTGGAATCCCCTGGGTTTTAGGGTGTAGGTTTTAGGGTTTACTTAAAGGCTCGTGGGACTTAGTAAGTCAGGTTATAAGTAGGTTGTAATTAGCATATCCCCACTGTAACCCTGGCCATAATCTACTTACTATGTCCCACGATCCTTTAAGTAGGGACCAGGGACGTTTAAATTGCTCTTCGAAAGCTTAGGGCCTAGGGTTGAAAGCGAGTTTTGGGGTGGGGTTAAGGAAGAGACTTGGTCTTGAGGGGCCACCGAAAAGGCTTTTGAGGAGCCTCAAACATCGTAGCATTGGTAACCTATTGGTTGAGCTGTGCACTTCAAAGGGTTGGAACGCCACAATGAAACAATGCGCGTTGTTCATAATGTAGGGGCCTCAACAATTAGAGTAGGGCTTGGGGGAAAGTATACGCCAAATACATAAGGAACCCCAAAACCTCATTCTAAGTACTAGTGTTGCCATTGCGCACTCAGTCGCCCTAAGCCTGACACCCGGCCAGTCCAACCCTACAAAAGTAAGTCAAATCGGAAACACTTTCCCGGCAAGGACTATAAAGCCTTGACAAATATACAATAATGCCCCAGGACATCTGCGGCCCCTCAACCAGAAACCCTGAACCCCAGACCCAACAACGCGCAACCACAACGGAACACACAATGCATTACTCTGGCCCTCTTACTGAAATGAAGCAAAAACCAGCCACCGAAATAAAGGATCAGAACCCAGCCTCCCCCCATCCCAATTTCGAGAACAAAGCTATACATTAAGAATCCCGAAGTGAAACCTTAAACTAAGCCTTAAACCCTAGGCGCGAAGCCCCCTAAACTCTAAACTTTGAACCGCTAAGCCCTTTGGAGTGCTCATACGAACTCAGGAAGGAGTCACTCGTGGTGAACATCTTCAGGTAGTCCTGAGACCAATCCCTCTATACTCGCTATATATATATATATATATATATATATATATATATACATGTATATACTGTATATATATATATACACATTATATATATATATATATATATATATGAGATCTGAATATGTATGTATGGTCAAAGTAACGGTTGGAGGAGCAGCAAGCCCCCTAGAGACCCAGACAGCTTGCTGGGCTCCCAGGAACTGTTCGTTGCTTATGGGCTTGTGTGGATTTGTAGGGCTGGAGGGTTGGAGGCTTCAGGGATTCAAGGATCTCGATTTGAAGGCAATGAAGGGATAGGAGTGCGGGGGGGTGGGGGTGCAAGTCACCCAGAAGCATGACTCACTTCGCCATACCTTGGGAGTTGAGAGGGGCTGGGGTGCAAGTCGAGGTATGCCATGGCAAGAAGTATCCCCAACCCCCACATCACTTTGGGACCCTTTTGAAGCTGCTAGGTGTCGAGTTTACATTGAGAATCAGCCTGGGGACTGCTGCTGTCCTGACGAGGGCTTTCCATGTCCAAACTAGGGCAGCTGCATGCATGCGTGCCTGCATACATGCATGCGTGCTTACAGCTTACATACATGCAGTGCGTAGTGTGTGATGTGTGTGTGTGTGTGTGTATGTGCATATATGTGTATGTATGTATGTATGTCTGTACATATAAGAAAATATGTGTGTGTATATATATGTATATATATATATAAGCACATACATACACACGCACACAGGCAAGTGTGTGTGTATGTATGTCTGCATGTATGTATGAATGTATGTACGTATGTACGTATGTATGTATGTATGTATGTGTATATTTGTGTGTATATATCTATATCTATATATATATATATATATATATATATAATATGTGCAGATGCATATGCCGGCGTACAGACACACGAGGACATACATTCATTGATACATTCATTGATACATGCGTGCATACATACAGACAGATACCCTAACCCTAGACCATACATGCACCAATTCTGTTATCGTCACGAAGATTGGGCCTCCTTCGTTTGGACTTCTGGACGGACTGCTTGCTACAGTGTAGCCACAGACTCCAACATCCCTTAAGTAAGTTATAGTAGGATCCCTGGTCAATATCCCGTAGTTAAGTTATAGCAGGATCCCGAATTTGATTAAGGAGTATTCCTTAATTAAGGGATATTGGAATCCTAGCGTAGCCCTCTCCGGTGTTTCCACTCTCTCTCTCTGCCTTTCTCGCGCTCTCCCCCAGCCGCCGGAGTACACTTCCAACAAGGAATATACCTGAAGCTAAAGAGGCATCCCTATAACATCCTATAACATTCGGGGAATCACGCCTAGAGCAAAAAGGGTGAGGACATGCTACAGCTGAGTTGTTGAAGTCTAATCAGATGCTATTCCTTGTTGGCCCCAATCGTCTCACCCCCATACAGACGGGGGGCTACTCTGCGGGAGTGAAAGCAGGAGGACATCGTAAGAAGGTCATCCATTTGAGCATCGTCCAGGGGCTGCTTCCTGGAGCAAAGAACCCTAAGGCCTGAAGCCTGAAGCCTAGCTTCGGTTTAGGGTTCAGGGTTTAGGGGTTTAGGGTGTAGGGGAAAGGGTCGACTTCGCTTCGGACGCCAGGGTCTTCGGAGTTCGGTTTCAGGCTGTGCTGAGAACCAGACCTCTTCAACTAGCTTAGTTAGGATGGCTGAGCTGATGCAGGGACGGTGAAAAAAGGATCTACTTCTTTAGGTAGGCTTTCGGATCTAGGCATGGAGCTCGGTAGCCAAAAAATGCCAGAGGCCCCGGCGTCCCCCTGTATCCGCCGTACCCCATGGTGGCCGGAACGAAGCATGTTTCATTGCGTGCTACCCTGAAGCTTTAAGGAACCCTCACAAACGCCCCGATACCTGCATCAGGGAAACCCTGCCCTCAATTTCCCATACGGCTGGATGGTAGTTTCCGAAAATAGGGGACCCCATTATAGTACCCTAAATAGTAGGTAGGATCCTTATAAAAAGGACCCCAAAACATGGAACCCCTGATTTTCGGAAAATCTACATAAAGGAACCGTTATTATAGTACCCCGTCTATGAAACATTTAAAAGGAGCCCTACGGTAGCCTTATCCCCTGAATTTCGGAAATTCCCAGAGGGCCCCGAGCCGTAGGGTAACCTGAAAGCCTCGGAAGCCTTTTAAGCAAGGAAGCATATATGAGAGTTTCTGAAAATTAGGGGTACCTTATTTGAGGGTCCTTATAATAAGGGTCCTACTATGTAGGGTTCTGTTAGGGTCCCCTATTTTCGGAAACTCCGATAAACTCCTACCTCAGATTGGATCAGGATCCTTCTGCAATTCAAGGTATGTTGCTGAATGAAGTGGCTTTGGAGGGGCTTTCATAGTTACCTATAACATTATGCATTATGGGGAGTATGGGGGTTCCTCAATTGTCACTATAGTTTTAGTGTATTGGGCCCCAAACCCCTTTGGAACTACTGAGGCCCCTGTAGTATTCAAGCTTGGAATGTCCCTGGGACTTAGGGTAGCACATTCGGATCGACTCGTTGCTGGGTTCCCCGCCGCTGACAGCATTGTTTTTTAGCTTGAAAGCTCAGGGTTCGGAGTTCTAGAGCAGAAGGTCTTGGGCGGATGGACATTAGGATGCAATATCCACCCCAAAAAAGGCGAAAAAGCACTCTGCTGTCTTAGGGAGTTTTGGATTCGGACAGTCTAGGCTCGAGGCAAGGGTAGACCTTGGCTCTTTCAGGGTGCTCGACATTCGCGCTCCCTTGAGGGTAGCTCTTCTCACGACCCTGAACGGGGAACCCCGTCGAAGTTTGCTTGCAAACCCGGGAGCAACAAGCCCGCCTTAGCAGGATTGACGGATAACATCACGGTAGACACAAAGTATTCAATCCACCCAAACCACCTAAACCCTAAACTCCAAAACTCCTAAACCCACACCTGTTGGTAAATGAAGAAGTTGGGCTTGGAGCTAAGCCGGGTCTAAACACTACCTCAATCCCCAAACCACGCAACCCTATACTGCCTATACTCCAGAGCCTGAAAACACAAAACCTCCAAAACTCCAAACCTCTAAAAGCTAAACCTCTAAAACCTTGACCTCTAAACCCTAAACCCCTAAACCCTAGATCCCAAACGCCAGAACAAGGCAAGCACAGAGGAGCCTGGGTTTGATATAGACGCGGGTGCCCTCCGGCCAACCATGCGTCAACTTCATGTACATGTCGATGTAGTGAAAGCCCTTCCTTTCCCCAAAGGGTCCAAAGTACTGATATAGTAGAGTGTAGGGTTGCTGTATTAGGAGTTGCTATCATGATTGCAGGAAGTATTCCCCATAACAGTACATAGGACCCTCTGGGTTCGTCAGATACTTGTAACAGAAAACCGTAAGAAGGTAGGTTGTTTGGGGGCAAGGTAAGCCCAAGGGTCCTCACACCCCCAAGAAGGGGAAATTGGGCTGTATGGTTGTAGCACACCTCTTCCAAAACAATTTTGTGGCGCTATGAGGAGTTGCAGAAAGTAAACTCCATTTCATACCACATAGACCTCTTGTAGTTGGAGCGTTGCCGTTAACATACTGTACAGATCCGTTACGTTACATCCGGTCCCCCTACTGTCAGAAATCCGCACGAGTCCTGACCCTACACCCTAAACCTCCAAACCCACTAGCAGGTGCCGATTTCCACAGACCCCCAAAATTGTGGATAATCAGGGCTAGATATTTTCCTGCCCGGAAGTTAAAAACTTATCCCAAATCGATACCTAGAAACCCTTGTAGTGCCCCTCATAGATCCCTTCTAGGTCCCTTAAGGAACCCCTGGAGTACCCGCAAAGGGAACCATCCGCAACCCTCAAAAAGCCGTACCACGGAATCGGAGTCCAGGCCAGATCGCAAACCAAACTTAAAACCTTCAACCCGAAACCCTCCTTTAAAGTTTCCTTTATACATGTTCCTGGTTGGCTTCCTTTAGTCAGCCCGAAACCCTCGACCACTAAACCTGATAAACCCCAAACCTTATGAACTCTACACACCAAATCCTAAACCGAGAGCCCAAAACCAGAAACCTTATCAACCCTAAACTCCTAAGATCCTAAACCTATATAAACCCCAAACACTAAACGAACCCAAAAAAAACTGTATATGAAAAGCGAGTGCCGCAAAACCCTGCAGTATTTTGACAGTCGAGGCTCTTCGATTCGGCTGTCTCCTCAGTGACGGTTTAGGGTTGTGGGTTCAGGGTTTAGGAGTTAAGGGTTTAGGGTTGTGGGGTTAAGCTTAGGGCTTTAGGGTTCGCGGGTTTAGGGTTGAGGGTGTAGGGTTGAGAGATAGAGTATCAGGAACGAAGGTTTTGAGATTCAGAGGCTGTAGGGTTTGGGGTGTATGCGTGGTCATGAGGTCTAGGGTTTAGGCTTCGGGTTTAGGGTTTGCATGCTATTTGGGGTGTATACTCTGAGGCTTGAGTGTGAACAGTAGGCTTCGTGTTCAGGTTTTCAAACTTGGAGCTTGAAGTTGAGGATGTCGGGTAATTAGGCTGTTCAGTAACCCATTGGGAAAAAGGTATATACTTTTTTGGGCTTCTTATTTTATTCTAGGAACCCAGAAACCTGAAAGTAAAACAGTGTACTACTGAACAGCTTGGTTAATGTAGGAACCTGATTAGGAAATCCTGCGTCTTTACGAGGATTCCTTATATCAATCCTACTATTTGGGGGTTATAGGCCCAGGGTTTCTTAATCAGGTTCCTACATTGTTCCAGGACCCCTCCCCGAAGCTTGTAATAGAGCCCTTATGGCCCTTAATAGTTGGTATTTGGGGGATCTTAGAGGGGGTTTGGGGGTCGGGCCGTGTAGGTCCGCGACTGCTGAAGGTTTTAGCTCTTCCATCTGGATCAAGGCAAGGACCGGCAGCCCATGCTACAAAGACCCGGCGAAAACAGATGTAACGCCCGTACATACTCCCATACACATATACTCCCAATATGGAACGCATGGACACGCGGATCTGGGCGTTTTGTGGGTATGAAGCTCTCATGGGCGAGATTGAGGGCCCCTTCGCCGAGAAGACTTCAGGATCTCAGCCACAGAGAAAGCATCACAAACCTCAAACAGTCAAGAGTACAGGGTATAGGGATATGGGGCACTTCCACCAGAGCTGTTCCTGAAGCCTTAAGCTCACATACCTAAACTCTAGCATATCAGGGCCCAAGACATCCGTCTTCCTGGGATTGAAGAGCCTGAATATAATCGGAAACCCTCAGCCCTAAACGCCAAAACCCAATCTCTGAAAAATGAACCCGAAGGTAATACAGAGGCCGGAACCCAAAGCCGTAATGTCTTGCTAGATTGCTCCGCCTAGCTGGCCAAGATTCCATGTCTTTCAGAGCGTGGTTGCTCACCTGACATTCATGGCAGGATTCGTGGCCGTAGTGGCCTTCAGAACGACCCTAAGAATCCAAGTACTGCTGGTTCGGCATAGGATGTTCCTAAATAAAACGGCTCCTAACCCCTGGGTCTGAAAGTGGCTTGGGGCTTTGTAGTGGCTGAGTACCCCAGCCCTCGAACAAGTTAACCTCTTCAACTATGGTAGGAAAAAAGGCTACTAAGATACTAAGCTTTTGTAGAGATTCAATGGGTTTGGGTTTGGGGATGAAAGGAGCTCAAGGTTTGGAGTTTCGTTCAGGGATTAGGGTTATAAGCTTTCCGGCCAGCGACGCATTGGAAATCAGCAAAACAATTATTAGGGTTGGGGGTTGGGGGTTCAGGGATTTAAGGGGTTTGGGTTTGGGTTTTAAGGCTTTAGGGGGTTCGGCTTAGGGCTTAGGGGTTCAGAAGCTTTGATTTGATTTACGTTTCTTGTAATTAGATTATCTAGATATACTTCCGTGTAGACTACAACAAGGGCCCAGATGGCACGCATACTACTCATGCACTCGGACTGACAGGTGCACAATGGCCAAAGCAAAAATCAAGCGCGGTGCAATGCCCGCCAGACCGGGCTCAAACCTAAATCCGAATCCCTACATAAAAGGCCCCCTTGAGTGTTATTCAAGGGGTAAGTAAATTAAGCTCCAAATGAATCATTCCCGGTGAAGTGTAAACAATCGTAAGCAGAATAGAGTATGACATCAAGAAAGTACTTGGATGTGCCAGCTAAGCACCTAAAACAACGCCGCAGAGTCACTGGTTCAGGGTTTAGGGATTTAGGGGTTGAATGGCCTCCAGCAGGCCGAGAACAGAAGTCTCACCGGCAAATTGCGGAATGTAATGCAGCGAACCTCACTGTGCACGCAAGTATGCCCTCGCCGGGTGCTTCACCGGGAAGGGGGAGAGGGCTGAGTAGTGTAAATAACTAAATACACACAGACGGTACGTATACAGGAATCCTCTGTTAGCTCATAATTATATTACATTTCGCATGGGGAGGGATCTGTCATCCTATAGGTCCAACAAATCATTAGGGGTGTTGAGGCTTTACCCAGTCCATGTGCTCTGTCCTTTAGAGATCGGAGATCGTACCCTGAAGCCTCCAAACACGTCTGATCTGTTCAGTTTGAGCCTTCAAGGTAGAACCTCGATTCCTAAGCTAGATCAAGGATTTAGAGCTGCTGCATCCGTGTTTGGCACATGAGGGTTTGACTAGCTTTGCAAGCATCGGTAGCAACGAGGGTTGCAAACGTCCTACACGCTGACCCTGAACCTCAAACTACACATTGGTCTTCATCGTTGGTGTCCGTCGAAATTCATTTTTTGGTTTAACCTGTTTAATATAGGATCCTATCAGGTAACCCCAACAAGGAACTACGATGGAGACTACAGGTAACCCCCCCAAAACCTCAAAACCTTAAACCCTTAAAGTCCGAAGCACTGTAAGCCTCACTTACCCCCGACATGAAGATCGAAGTCGAGGGCCTGGTTATTCCAAGGGGAAGAGGAGGGATCCTTAATGGGACCCCTAGGTATACACCCTTAATATAGCTATTATATACCCATGATATAGCCCATTATAAGGTAGGGGTCCCCATTAAGGGTCCTTCCATTCCCCTTTGAGTTATGGCTCTTCCAAGCTGGTCGCCGTCGCTGCCTGGTTTGGACCAAACCACCATCGCCTTTGATTCTAGGGCAAGAGTTTAGGGGTTAAGGGTTTAGGGTTGGGGCAATGTAGAGACAATTAATTCTCAAGAGGGCAGGTCTCTAAATCAGAGTGCCTAGCCGAATCACCCAAAGACTACTTAAAGGCCATGGGACTTAGTAAGTAAGGTTATAGGTAGGTTACAGTTAAGATAGCCCCACTTAGGGGACTTATAACCCCAGTTATAACCTACTTACTAAGTCCCATGATCCTTTAAGTATGTCCCTCCGACCCCAATCTCCTACCCGGAAACTCAACGATGGGGTCCATGGTGAGCAGGTCATAACGTCCGGACCCCGAACACTGAACGACTCAAAGTGAAAGCAATAAGCCACCGAACCCAGACGCTTGGGCTGCTTGGGGAGGGAGGGGAAGGAGCATCTTTGGATGTCTTGCGTGGCCTTTGCGAACAGCTTGGGGATGAATAGCATCCCACGATTGTATACTCACGGGTGTAGTTCATACCTCTGTGCTTGCAGCCCTCACTCCAAACCTGCGCGCCCAGCTTGGCAAACCTACTGCCTAAACGCTGTACGGTTTCTGTAATTTAAGGAGTTCTTTCAGGCATGTAAAGGACTTTGCTTGGGTTTGATAGGCTGACTATTGCATAGATACCCATACGGTAACGTGATCAAAGTTCCTGAATCGATACTTTCGGGCCACCAACCTACTTGGAGGATCATGGGACTTAGTAAGTAAGGTTATAAGTACCACTTAAGTACCTTAGTTGGGGTTTTAAGTATAGTCACCTTACTTATACCCCTAGTTACTAAGTCCCATGATCCTTCAAGTATCAACCCTTTGGGCACATTCACCCTTTCGGGTAAGATCGAAGCCTGAGTAATTAGACGAGAGGGCTGGGAGATTGGGGCAAAGGGTTTGCCGCTTGTTTCGGGTTCGGGCCTTGAGGTTTACCGGGTTCGGATGTACAGTTCATTCGTGCTTTTTCAGCCCGCACACACCGGCCCAGTTGGTTTCATAACCCCTACTTAAAGGATCATGGGACTTAGTAACTAGGGTCCTAAGTAAGGTAACTATACTGATAACCCCAATTAAGGTACTTGTAACCTCACTTACGAAGTCCCATGGTCCTCTAAGTACACCCTAAACCAAAAAGAACCACTCGATCGGAGCTTCGCGAACCTTGCCAACAAGCCAAACAGTCCGGGAAAAGCACCCTCTGCTTTCGAAGACAAGGAAGCATTTCGGAGGGTTAGATGTCAGACTGGGCGCATGGGTTCTGATGTAACGACGAGGTCTCAAAAAGTAGAGAAGTATGATAGAAAACTCCCCCCCCCATTACACCTCGACCGCAAGACTCCGCAAGACTTGGCCCCACAGTGAAATTCGAGAAACGACGTGCATAACATTGGCTCCGGAAAACCTGAGTGCCGCATACCAATGCGGAGTTTGGGTTTTGGGGCGGAGTCCAGGGTTCTGGTGCAATTCAGGCCGGAAGCTTTCCGAGATCTCACTTGTCTTACGCGGTTGAGGGCTCAGGGCCCAGAGTTTAGGGCTCACGGTTTAGAGTTCATGGCTCAGGGTTGAGGGGGTCAAGTTTAGGGTTTACGGGATAGGGTCCAGCAGCAGTTGCTCAGTTTGTGGCGTCTCCACTACTACATGATATAGGGCTTCTGTTGTCAGCATCCTGAATAGGAGCCACAAACATCTAGAGGACGCCAAAGCCCGAATAGAAGCCACCTTCTCTTACCTAAAGTCTCCATTGTCGTTTCTTGGTCGGGTTACCTTATAAGATCCTTTATGTAAAATTGCATAAACCCGAAAGGGAGCTACAAAAGAGACGGCAGAAAAGCTGTAATTATGCCCTTACAGAGAACCCTTTTATAGCACCTTTGGCTATCTGTGACCGGATGAACGCCTCCTATAGATGCATTCCTTTCGGCTGCTCATACACTAGATTATGAAGCGATTTCAACAGAACAACATTACTCCAAGGGTAAAAGGAGGGACCCTTAATAAGGACCCCTAGGTATATACCCCCAATATAGCCATTATATACCCATTATATAGCCCATTCTAGGGTAGGGGTCACCATTAAGGGTCCCTCCTTTTCTCCTTTGAATTACAAATCAAGGTGAGCCCGGTATCCTCAAGTTCGCACATCGGGACCTGCGAAATTCAACAGCGAAAACCTGAGCAGAATTCCGAAACGTAGCGGAAGCGAGGGCTTGGATTGATCCCTTGTTCGGAACCCTAAACCCTATACCCTGAACCCTATACTATACCCGACACCCTATACCCTAACCGTATACCCTCTAAACCCTAAACCGTATACCCTAAACCCTATAATTACCCGAAACCGTGAACATAGAGTCGAAGGTTTCATGGGTGGCCCCCGGATGTGGGTGCGGCTTTTCCGGCAGCCCTTCATCTGGGGGCCTTAATAATTACCAATACTACTTTGGAGTTTCTTATTGTAATCATATATAATTATAGTAAGGAACCCCAAAATAGTATTGGTAATAGTACCATTGGCCCCCCCAAAAAAATATTTCCGTAGTCCCTAAACCCAAATCGCTAGATTCGTCGAAGCAACGACATCTGGATCTGGGACAGCCTGAGTCACTGCGCAGCACTGACAGTGCAGGCCGACAAACCCAGCCCCCAAACTCCAAACCCCGAAAAGGTTTTAGGCTTACCAGAGGACCCCCCAATGGCCCTTTAATGGAGCCCTTATGGTGTACCTCGGGTATATTAGAGGTAGCTGTGGGGTCTAAGTTGGGGCGAATTTCGAGAAAGCTGGAAAGTTCTAGAGCTGAAACCATGCAGCAATAAATTAACCCCGGAACCCTCACACACAAAGAAAGGGTTCCTGGAAACCCTCAGTCATCTGGATCAAGGGGCGGGGAAGTGGCGCTGAGTCCCTAAACCCTTACCCAAAGGGTCCAAAGGACCCAATAAGAAGGTACTTGGGTTTAGGATAGTAGCTATGTAGCTCTACGTTTGCGAGAGTATGTAAGTATTGGGTACTTGGACCCTTACGGTTATACACCGGCCACTCAACCCTGATCTCGAAGAGCAAATCCCTCTCTCTACCCCAATTCGTGGCCCGACCCCAAACCCTTCTGAGGCTCAACAGCGCTTCGATTTTGAGAGGTTTCCGGGCTTATGAAGCCCTAAACTTGGTCCTAAACCCTAAACCTTCACCGTTACATTGCATAGACATGAAGCTAGACCCCCCGACTACCCTAATATACCCTAAGTGCTGACTATTACGGACCATGTTAAAGGGCACACCGGGGGGTCCTGGAAGATGCCCCTAAACACTAAACCCTGGGAACCCGAAACTCCTAAACATAGACATGAACCCAGACCGCCGGGAGGATCCAGAAAGTAGATCCCTTAATGGGGGGTCCCTATAACGTAACCTTAGTAGTATGATCTACTTTCTAGATCCTCCCGGGGGTTTGGGAAGAGGTCCCGAGTTTAGGCAAAGGAGCATGTCGGTGGAGAAGAAGAATACCAAGTCTCCGGTCTTCAAACTGGGCTTAGGGCTCAGGGTGAGGGCTTTAGGGTTTTAGGGGTTAGGGGTTTAGGGCTTCGGGGTTTAGGTTAGGGTTGTGGGTTCAAGGCTGTTGGGGTTTAGGTTAGGGTTGAGGGTTCAAGTTCGAGGCGTTGGGGTTTAGGGTTTCGGGTACCAGGGCCTGCTTGGGCCTCTGCTTGGGTCCATAGAACCCATATGGGAGCTTCCGAAAATTAGGGGTACCTTTTTTTGGGTGTCCTCGTAATAAGGGTCCTACTACAGTATTCAGGGTACTATTATATTAGGATCCCGTATTTTCGGAAACTCCCATACATGTAGGGATCCTACGGATTCGACTAGGTAGGGGCTAGCTCGCACAGTTCTGAGGGTTCCCCTAATTTGGGGCACTATACTACCAAGGGTACTTTATAGGGACCCCCATTAAAGGATCTACTTTTTGGATCCTCCCGGGAGTCTGGGATGCTTAGCATTGCCAAATCTCGGATGCCTCGGTTTGGAGCCTGCAACCCTCACTCTGCCTCACACCCGATGATGGGCTTTGAAGTAGCAACGGGGAAAGCACACATACAACTCTATTTCATAAGGGCTCCTTTAAGGGAAGGGTGCACACCTAAGTAATAAAGTAGGGTACTCCAGAAACCAGCACCGACTGCATAACAAATTCACAGCACCCCTTAATCTGAGGGTCGCAAAATCCGAGCAGCAACCCTTGCACCCCGAAAACAGAGCTGCCAAGTCACGTTGGGGTGCTTCTGGCATTGAGGGTTAAGGTTCTCTTGTTTTGGGGTGGTACTTCAAAGTTCGAGGGTTTAGGATTTAGTAGCGACGTTGTCTCTTTGTTCTCCAAAAGCCAACTGACAGGTCAACTAGTGCCGTCACCCTAGACCCTCCAACTACCCTCTATTAGACCCTAAATGCCCCTTATTTGGGACCATATACCCCTAATTGAGGGTACAAGGAGGGTCCTGGACACTGCCATTCATTCATAGAACACCAACCCTTAAGCCCCAAACCTGCAGGACAGTGCCTGACCCCCACACACCACTCCAGCCTAACACCGTAATGGGGACCTTACTGTGGGTCCAAATATCAAAGCCCCTCTGACCTGGACCCCTAATTTCAGCAAGCCCCCAGCAAAACTACCAAATTTGCAGCCTATGACCAGGACCCCTGATTACACGAAGCCCCAGCAGAACTACCAAACCCTAAACCCTACCAAATCTGCAGCAGTGCACTGGTGATGTCCTCGCACAGGGTCATCCCAGTCCTGTGGGCTGATGGATTTCATGGATTTTGTAGGCCTGGACCCCAAATAGCCTAGACCTACCTACCTGTTTAAGGACTTGTATAAGGACATCATCAATAAGGAACCCTAACAACAAGGCTTTATGGGGTCCACGTTGGGGTTTAGGGATTTCGGGCTCTGGGTTTTGTAGGTGGGGTCGTGTAGATCTTTATAAAGTTGGGAAGGTTTATTTCTACGCAGGGATACAGACTTGTCCAAGCACCACATCAGGTAGGTACTTGGGCTTGGGTTATCGATGATCTTACTTCCAGGTGACTACCTATGGATGATAACCAGGTATTTGAAAATTGGACCGGCTCGATGGGGTTGGGATACAGGAGTTTATTGCTTCAAGCTTCCCGCCAAAACGGCCTTCGTTTAAGGGGCTAAACTATCGAGTGTTTTGTACCCTGAACTCTAGACCTTATAAACCATAGCCGTCAATCGCCGCCCAACGCATGGGAGCTAGTTTAGACCCTGGGCATCGTCAAAGCTTTCCAAATTCCGGTAAGCAACGGCGCAAGAGTTCGGGGTTTCGACTTATAAAGGAAATCATATTCAGGAACCCTAAAAAGGTAGGTTATTTGGGGTCCAGGTAAGACCTATACACTGCCTCAACTTATAGATACCCTACACCCTGAAAGCCCAAAACCCGGATAGGATCCTCAGGCATAGCAGGGTGGTCACAGGCCTCTAGTGATCATATACTCCCCCAAAGAATAGCTTACATGGTGACCACATCAGAACGAAAGCCTTTATCAGAAAGCTATATAGATCCCCTTATAGATATCTTATATCGAAACTGTAGTTCTAACTGAGCTACATTGCCAGCTACGTAATGAATGGGTCCCTTGGACGCTTGTGAGATGGTTGGGAAGTAAGCCTATAAGGACTCGGACACCCAAATCCTGAAATCGCTAGACCTTGGAGTTTAGGGTTTACGGCCTAGGTTTTAGGGGTTCAGGGTTTATAAGCCTACTTGCGACCAGGCAGCAACGCAAGTTGCATTCTGGCAAGAATCGACGAACCTGGGCAAGGACGGGGAGCTTTCACATTGGTTCGCGTTGTTTCGGCGCTGAGAACTAGAGTCACTAAATTGAGCCCGGTGCACTGTAGCCTCCTCAGTGAACACTGAACCAAAGCTCGGCTGCAGAAGAGTTCCGCAAACGAGAATATATAGAAGTAGAGTGATTAGATCTTCACCCTCAACTTTCGTTGCAAATACGAAGGGCCATGAAGAATCATGATTGTTACACGGTGGCCAGACCACCATCGAGAACTTCAATGTTCGTCTTGTTTCCAGCCATGAGGCCTTGACTCTTAGAGTAGCCCCAAGGGTCCAAAGGACCCAGTAATTAGGTACTCGGCTTTAGGATAGTAGATATGTAGGTTGGGTTTTGGGGGGAGTATATGACTATTGGGAACTTGGACCCTTGGGGTAGGGCTTTGGGCTCCTGGAATTATAGCAAAGCTGGAGTAAGAAACTCAAACGAACCATACAGATAAGTGTTCAGGCTTCTATGTTAGCCCATCGTGCGAGCTTCTTGCTGTTTAACACGGGACCTTAAGGCGCGATCTGCTAGACCGACAAAGGACACCCACTACTCAACTGTGACTTGTCCTGTTCCGCATCGAATTGCGACCATCATGCTTCCTTAAACTGCCGCAGCTGCCGCTTCCACGAGATTTCCACCGACATTATGTGTTTGTCCTTGCTTTGGTCACTCACGTAGCCTGTGCCCTGACCCTGCCATGCGAGGGAAAACGGAGCCCTAGTTAATTGAGCAGAGCGACGTAAAGGATAGGTTTCATGGGATATAGACCCCTTTCAAACCTTAAGACCTATTAGCACAGGCTTTGGAGCTTTCAGGAATGAACCCCGAAACAAGGAAGGAAGGCAAGCCACCGGTGTCGCAGGTTGGCATCTTCCTGCACGAGCAAAGATTTCTCTGGAACAGGCTCGCATCTCTAGGCGCTACGCCATGGGTTGTACTACAAGTCAGGTAGGGAAAATAAGTAGTTCTACAGGGCTTCTTCTTGTAAGGTTTAGGTTCTAGGCTGTATCTTAGGGGCCTTAAGAACTAGAATAAGGGCTTTTCGGTACGCTATGCTACAATTTGTGTTAAGGAACCCTGATGAACAACTCTCTAATACAACGGCCTAAACCAAAGGTCTTGGGTTGGATTGTACGGTACTTGTTGCAGGGAACATTACAGAAAAGTGTTTCTATTCAGGCTCTTATGTTTGGCTGAAAAGGATCCTCATGCAGAGCAGGGAACTTCGTGGTGAGATCCTTGGAGTACAAATCCAGGACTCTCGGGAAGCAAAGAAGCTTTCACACGTGCTCCAAGTCTTGATATACATTAAACCCCCCTTACACTCTGACTCTCAAGGTGCATGTTGATATAATGCCTACACTGATGTTGTGACTATAAGGATTATATTAGGGCCCTATCATATTCCTATTATTTTCCTATTACAGGGCAGGGGCAGCTTCTAACCAAGACCCTAAACCGAAACCCCCTGGCCTGCGTGCGAATCGCCTGGGCGACTGCCAGCAAAGCGATAGCGAAAATCATGGAGGGTAGCTCCTGTCAAAGGGGACAAGGAGGGACCCTTAATGGGGACCCTTTACAGGGATCTATAGGGATTCTATAAGGATATAGGCTTTAAGGTTTAGGGGTTTAGGGGGGTTTTGGGGGTTTAGGGGAAAAGGAGGGACCCTTAATGGGGACCCCTACCCTATAGTGGGCTATATAATGGCTATATAATCGCTTTATTAAGCGTAATATGCTTAGGGGTCCCCATTAAGGTCCCTCCTTTTACCCTTGGATCCTGAGTGTCCAGGGCTTTCTAAGGAATAAGTTGGGGTGAGGTTAATTAAGGGATTCAGTTTCGGGCTGAACTGCGGGGTTCGGGTTTATGAGGTTTAGGATTAAGGTTTGGGGTTTTGGGTGTCGCGATCTAACTAACCACAAAAGACAAAGCATGCAAACTCAAAGGAGGCACAGTTGGATTGAAGAGACAACGGCAGGTCCGCGATTTGAGAATCCTTTTCCAAACGACCCAGACGATACCGAATATCTTTGCGCATCAAAAAATACTCGAGGTGTTAAATTTACAGTAAAGCATAAACCCATGAGCACACCAATAAATACGTAGAAATATTTATATATACAGATGCAGTGCACATAGATATACATATTGCATGCAAACTCAGTACATACGGAATTATGGACAAAGATGTCTTGGATTGTTCGGATCGATAGACCCAAACCTTGAGCCACAGCTTCAATGCGCAGCTCTCAGAGGTGGATTTCGCACGGCAATATAAGGCGTTTAGCAAATAGAAATGCTTCTCGCAAGTGTTAAAGCTTTAGTGCCCTGACTACACTAGGGTTTGAGGTATGCTTACAGAGACTACAAAGCGAGATCAATACTTGCTACCCTGTATTAGGGTGATAGGTTTCGGGCATGCTTCCCGGCAGTAGCTTGCCAGAGCTTACCAGGTTCAGCGTCTGAGGTCAGAAGGTCGATGAGCCTTCAGTTTTGTCAGGGTGTAGCCCTCTCTAGCCTGTTTCGCTTCAGGCCTGCAGGTGTAGAGGGTCTGATTAATGCTTTAGGGGTTGACGGCTTGAGGCTGGAGCCTCGCATGGTTCGTTCGAGTTTAAAGTGTTAGGATTTAGGATTGCGGTCGAATGGAGCATGGACAAAAGAGATGCTGCGCAAAATCAAAGCCAATCCTCAACCGCCATAATAGACTCCATGCATGTATGCATGTTTGCATGCCTGTAAGCAAGTACATATGTATGCATGTATGTATGCGTGTATGTAAGTATGTACAAAGGTACATAGGTACATACATACTGACACACACATACATACATACATACGTACATGCAGACATATAAACGAAACACGTACATACATTCATCATGCATGCATGCATGCATGCATACATACCCTATGTAGGTATGTATGTATGCATATGTACATTCGTGCATATGTACATATGAGAGTATGCCGCTAGCAGGATCTCCCCCTTCATATAGTATAGGATGATGTGAGATACTACAGTAGAACATACTGTGCTTAAACAGGATAGAACATAATATCATGCAAGGAGCATTGATAAACCACTGCATAACACAATGCAGCGAAATATAATGCAGCGAAATACAATCAACATAGAACAACATAACACAGCATAGAAGAAACTCGCATGATAAGGTAGTTAACCGGTAATGTTGTGTAGTACGACATGGTATAACGTGAAAACACAATATAACAAGCTGCATCTTGATAGTCCATAGTAGTGCTTCAGACAATGTGATTTCATTATAGCGTAGTAAAACACATACATATATAGATGTGCGTGTACATAAATACATCTTATCATCTAATATCATGTACTGTAGTGTGTGTGATGAAGAACGAAATGCTCCGTGGTACTATGCTGTGTTAAAGTATGTTACAGGATGCAGTGTCAATAAAATAAGTCACAGTCCAGTCTAGATTCTGCTCTGGGCTATCCTATTCGGTTCTAGTTGGCTCGATCTTGTCACCTTCCATACAATAGTAAGCTTTACGATACCTCTGTACTCAGTTATATGCTGCGCTATACTTCTGTCTCCTCTATTTGATAATACGTTGCTGCACTGTGCCATAAGATATTAGTTCATATCATGTTATGTTATACTTTACTATATGGTATCAGATTGCATTCTTCCATTCCAGCATAGTCTAGCCTGTTCTTTTTGAACCTGGAGTTTCTTGTGAGTTATGAAATACATGAGAACAAACCGCACCAAAGTGTTATAAAGTATCATGTTGTATTTATGCTGATAAACCAATACCAGTATATATGATATTGAAAAAAGCTACCGCTCTGGTGCACTCTAAGGTTTTGTGCTGTGCTGTATTATGCTATAAGGCACTGTTTCATGTTGCATTACGTTAAACCATGACGAATTCTGGTCCGCTGTGTTATAGAATGTTACGGTGAATTGTACTACACTTTTGTGTATTACAATACAGTACATGATGCATTGCATTATGTTATCTTATACTGTAGTGAGTTATACGTTATTGCAAGGTAAAGTACGGTACAGCATAGGACAGTGTGGGATGGCATGGTACAGAATAATTTATGTTATGATATATCATATTGCATTCATCTTGCAATGCTAAGCTACATGTGTACCAGGAAACATAATATATGTGCGTACGCATGTGCACATGTTAGGTCTTGATACACAGCAAGGCACATTACATCGTATTACACTATGTTATCTGAAACTTATCATCTTGCCTTAGAGTCGATTAAAATCAAACAACTGCTGCTGATGATTGTTGGGATATATTAGGTTATACTATGTTGCATTGGGTATACAAGTAGAAAACTATATTATGCGACACTGCACTGTCTTATTTTATAGTATATGATATTTTGTTCTCTACAAATTGTTACGGTATTGATTTTTTTCTCCTAATGAGTACATGTCCGTATACACCTACATACATACATACATACATACATACACACATGCATATGTGCATGCATACATACATGCATAGATATACAGATACAAGATATACAAATGTATGAATGTATACATATGATGACAGACCGAAACCCCAAAACTATAACCCCAAAACCTGGGTTCTTTACGTAGTCTGCAGCATACGTTACAGTGAAGCTCCAAGCTACGTCGACGATATGTCTTCCTACCAGTGGCGGGCAAGAGCTTGGGGGTGGCCGTCAAGGACAAGCAGGGCTTGGGGTGTTGAACAAATCCAGACTGTCGACCCGAAGTGAGTACCCCCAGTGGTAGGGTCCTTGATATCAAGACCCCAAAGCTGCAATCACCCTAAACCCTAAACCCTTAACCCCCAAAGCTTCAATCATGAACTGAAGCTGGAACCCTTAGAGTTCGACCCCTCACGTCTCCCTAAACCCCGAACCCTCAACCCTGAGCCCCAAATCCCAAAACCCTAAACCCTAAAACGTAAACCCTAAACACCAAACCCTAAACCGTAAACCCTAAACCCTAAACCCTACACCCTAAACCCTAAACCTCAAACCACGACATCGGGCACCGAGCAAAGATCTCCCCCTTGTGAACTAGAAGCGATGTCCTAGGTCTGGGTCAGGGAAACTTGGATTTTTGGAGGCTTTTACAGGCGGTTTCGGGTTTAGGGTTTGGGTCAAGGACATTTGGAGTTGTATGGGGCTCTTATAGGGGTTTCGGGTTTAGGGTTTAAACCTAGGAACATGCTGGAAGGGTCCAAGTAATTCTTATTTATGGTTTTGTGTACCTAGAAAGGCCCAACGGTCCTGTAGTAGGGAGTACTTGGACCCTTAGGGTTGGAGCTACTTAGAGGATCATGGGACTTAGTCACTAGGGTTGAAAGTTAGGTGACTATACTTCCAACTACTTACAACCCCAATTAAGGTACTTATATCCCTAGTTACTGAGTCCCCTGGTCCTCCAAGTAGGGCCTTTGAGTTTCAGGTTTCGGCTCGGGTTTCGGAGATTTCTGCTTGGGGTTTGGGGCTTGAGGATATTCGGCAATATATGGGTCTAAGTGGTCTAAGTCGAGGATTTACAGGCTTAAGGTTCAGGGTTTTGGGGCGTCCATGGTTGTCGGCGTAGGCCACTGGGTCGCAATACAGGTGAGTAGTGTAGGGGCTTTAATAATAATTCGAGTCGGGTTTTGGGTCCCACTATACTATACGATAAGTATGATAAGGAGCTCCCCAAATAGACTAGGTACTTATTTAGGCTTCTATATTAATGTATTGTCAGCCCAGCACAGTGGCCAAGTGTTGTCAAGACAGGCATCGAGGCTTTGAAGTTCACGGCTTTGGGGTTTAGGGTTGTGGGTTTAGGGTTTAGGGTTGTGGTCGAGAGCTTCTTCAATCCTTTCCACACTCGTCTATGTACAAACCACTATTTAATTCAGGATACACCTTAAGGCCAATATCTACATGCCACGTTACTCAAGAACGAAGCCGAGTACAACGAGTGGGTGACAGGTAGACCCGCAAAGTTAGCAAGGCAAAGCAACTCTGGAGACCCCCAGTCTCATAAGGCTAACGTAGAAGCCAGAATAAATACAAATGCCATTCCTAAGGGCTCTTTGTTACAACCAGGTGGAAAATTCCGAATCCTTGTTCCGGTGATGAAATCCTTACAGAAACGCCGCAAGGTCCGAACCCCTCAACGCCTGAACCGTCTACTGCCTTGCTTGCTCCTACTTGGGGCGTAAGAATCACGTTCTGGGAGCCTGTGTGCATATATATATACACACACCTATGTATATTCTATGAATAAGTGAACCTGAGCTCTAAACCCTAAAATTAAGGGGGTCCTTCTTCATTAGAACCGGCATTCGGCAAAAGAGCATCATACTCGTACTGTAATACAGCACCCTAAGGAAGACTATTTCAGAATTGTACGAAAAAAAATATTTCTAGCTATCCTGGCCCGTATAGCAGGCTCTAAACCCCTAAATCTGCTACTTCAGCTCTGCCCAGCTGCGAATACTCAAACTCGCCAACGATCAACTCCTGCCTCGGCTTTGGGTTTTGGGTCCAGGGTTTATTGAGGGTCTCGGATCGAGGGTCTGATCTCCGCAATATACAAAGCACCAAGCTTTAGTTAGCTTCATGACTGATGCCCCTATGGTAGACCCCAATCCGCAAACACATAAGACAAGGTTTTGTGATAGTAGAAGCCAGAAAGTTGGAACATGGCTTTAGGAGGATTAGTGCTAGGATCCCTTACACTTTACCTGAAGGGCATGAGGCCAATGATGTTCCAACTTTCTGGCTTCTACTGTATAGGGTTTGGGGTATATTTGGGTCTATTTTGGGTCCAGGATTGTGAGTCCTATTGATTTTTAGGGTTCAGGGTCTGTAGTGTCGAGGGTGCAGGGTTATGTGAGGACTTGAAGGTTGAAAGCTTAGGGTGTTCGGTTTAGAGTATAAGGCTTTGCTTTAGGGCTTAGGATTTGGGCATTGCGCTTGGATTTGTGCGGTTTCTCAGAAATAGGAGATATTCATGGGTCATTGTTGGCAGGAGCCTACAATGTAGAATGAAGAGATTGGGTCGGGCTGAGGATGCGCTAAACCCCAGGCCAGAAACTCGCATATTGAACACCGTAACCCCAGAACCAAGAACCCCGAATTTCACCAACAACTCTTGCTGTTCCTTATTCCGCTCGGTCCGCTTAACTACATCACACAATTAATGTAGGCGCCTGAATAATTGCCAGTACAATTTTGATGTTCCTTAATATAAGTAAAGTATCATGGGCCCCAAAACCCTATTCTAATTATTAAGGCCCCTAAAATATTACATAGTAGGAGTTTGCTAGGATGGAGCCTAAGGTCGCGCATACAGCCTGAAGACAAAAATCCTAAACCCTAAACCCTAAACCCTAAACCCAAACCCTAAACCCTAAACCCTAAACCCTAAACCCTGAACCCTGAAAGGGTTCCGATTCCACATGCTCCAATCCCCAGCATGCCCGAAGCCCGAAACACTCCACTCAGGAAGTGGGTCCTGGCTCTGCGGCTTCTTATGTTGAAAAATACTGCGGAACCTCGAGGAATAATAGTGGTGAGTAATGTAGAGACCTTATTGATTAAAATAGAGTTTTGGGGCCCATTATATGATCATTACAACAAGGAGCCCTCAAAATATGTAGTATAGGTAATTATTCAAGCCCCTATATTATTCAGGCCGCAACCCTATCTTCGGCCACGAGGTTTCCAGTATCGCCTAGAATGCAGTCATATGATCACGAAACGTCAGGGGAGATGCCTTACAAAAGTGGGTTGCGCGCTCTAAACCCTAAAACCGAAACCCCTAAACCCTAAGCTACCCTAAACCCTGAACTACCCTATAAACCCTAAACCCTACACCACACATAGTTATAGTGAATAATCGTGAGAATAGGAGGCCATTGGAGAAAAGCTTGAGCCGTTCAACATTCCTCTAGTCCAAGGATCATCGGACTTACTAAGTAAGGTTCCCTGACGATGTATAGGACTTAGTAAGTAAGGACATAAGTACCTTAATTGGGGTTATAAGTACATATAAGTATAGGTACCTTATAACCCGAGTTATTAAGTCTCATGATCCTCCAGGTAGCCCAGGGCCCCCGGCAGCACCCAGTGCTCATCCAGACCATCCGGCGCCAAGCGCATGGCTTGGTCCTTGCTCTCCACCTTTTCGGCTTGGGGTATAGGGCTTAAAGGTTTAGGGTTTTTAAGTTTAGGGTTTTAGGGTTTAGGGTAGCATGTGCTATAGGCTATAGGGGCCGTGAGAGTTAGAATAGGGTTTGGGGGGGTGTCTTATCTATCAGTGCAATAAGGAGCCCTAAGAAAAACTAATGGTAGTTATTCAGGCTTCTACATTAACGATTGCTTTCAAAGCACTCTAGCAGCTTAGGGCAGGGTTTCGGGGCTTAGGGCTTGGGGTTTAGGGCTTTGGGGCGTTAGTTTAAGGCTTTAGGCTTTAGGGCTTGGGGTTTAGGGTTTTAGGGTTTTGGGTTTGGGGTTTCGGGGCTTAGGGCTTGCGGGTTTGGGGATTCCGGGATCGATCTGGGGTGCAGGATTCTGGAGTTTCAGGTTTCAGGCGTAGCTCGCCAATGAGGCTCCGTGTTGGATCCGCAACCAAGAAACAATGTACTCAACGCATGGGTCGCACTCGAGGGTTCAGCATGTAGACCTGGTCTGTACCTAGAGGCTCATACCCTACCCCTTTGTTGATTACCTACTGTTCTAAACAACAGATTACAACTAAAGAAGTAGGTATACCCCCGAGAAAAGGGTAGGGTATGAGCCTACAGGTACGATGAAGGTGTTAGGGCGTAGAGTTTTGGAATAGGGGTTCCTTTAAAGGGCCATTATAAGGCTTTAGTATAGGGGCCTTCATAATTACAATAGGATTTTGGGCCCAATACACTCCAAGTATCATCTTGATAGGGAACCCCCCAAAAATAGTAGAGGCAATTAATTGAGGTACCTATATTAGGGGGCTTCCATTTGGGGTGAGGGATCAAAAAAAAATTAAATAAGGATCAAAAAAAAATTAAATGGAAAGATCAAAAAAAAATTAAAATAAGGATCAAAAAAAAATTAAATCACTCAAAATACAGCATTTCCTGGGGCAGAGGCATCAAAAAAAATTAAAATAAGGATCAAAAAGAAATTAAATCACTTAAAATACAGCAATTCCTGAATTTTTCCAAGGGAAAACAATGTTTTTTCCTATGGATTTTCTTTTGTTTCCTTAGGATCTGTTTGGTTTTTCCTCTGGAAAACACGATATTCCTGCGGATTCCGTGGTATTTCCCTAAGTTGTCCTTGAATTTTTCGTAGGGAAAAGCATATTTTCCTATTACCTATGGCGTTCGTGTCATTTGTTCAGGTTTTCAGAAGGACAACATATGGTTGTTCCTCGGGAAGATCAAATTTTCCTTACAATTTCACATTTAGGACGGATTTCCTGTTGTAGCTGTTGCTGGTGTTCCGCTTCATCATCTGTCTTAAACACGCCCCTCATTTGGCGATTCTGGTTCAGGATGTATCTACAAGGGCGGAGACGCCCTCATTTGCTGGGTTTCAAAAAAAGGCATATGCTTCAAAGCAACCCTGCACGGCTTAAAACAGCGGGGGGGTTGGGGGGGGCGCAGCCCCCCCCATTTGCAGAGACAACGTTCACATGATGGGCTTCGAAAACACTCTTTGAATCAAGCTTGCACGTCTCGAAAAGCGCGGCGGCGGGTGTTTTGTTCTTCCGTGCCTGTTCGTGTCTCTTCTTCCGTTAGCATTCTAACCTATATATATATATAACATAGTAAACCAGAAGAACGACATAAGATGGTTCGACAACACAAAAATGGTGTGACATTTTCTGACATAACAGAACCTTGCTTCTTATAGCATATAATAGCATACTAAAAATACAACAATGCAATATAACAGAAGATGACATAGAACAAAACAACATCTTAGTTTATAGTGTAGTACATTGTAACATAGTACAATACAGCGTGTATATTTACAACATAATATGTAGTATATTTTATAACATTAGGTTACATTATGTTATATTATGTTACGGTACATTACGATATTATGGTAAATTCGATTGGACTATGTAGTATCCTGTTGCTTGTATCTTTGTTTCTGTGATTCTTTCATATTCTTTCTCTTTCGTCTTTTCCAACTTTGCTTTTTTATTCTGGACTTCTTTCTTTCGTTCGCTCGTTCATGTCTTTTCTTTCTTTCTGTTGTTCTTTCTTTGTTCATCTCATACTCCCTTCCTTTCTTTCTTGCTTTCTTTCTGGTTTGATTTACTTCGTTCTTTCTTTGGTTCGTTCTTGCTTTCGTTCTTTCTTTCGTTTTTACTTCCGTTTTTTCGTTCTCTCTCTCGTTCTATCTTTCTTTCTTTCTGTTTTCCTTTCTTTCGTCCTCTTTAGATACAGCAATTTTTGAATTTTTCCCAGGGGAAACACTGTTTTCATACGGATTCGTTTTCATTTCCTGAGGATTTGCTTGGTTTTTGCTCGGGAAAACACGATTTTTCTACGGATTCCGTGGTATTTCCTTAAGTTTCGTTCTTTAGTTCTTGCTTTCGTTCTTCCTCTTGTTTTTGCTTTCGTTCTTTCGTTCTCTCTCTCGTTCTTTCTTTCTTTCTGTCTTTCTTTCTTGCTTTTTAGATACAGCAATTCTTGAATTTTTCCAATGGAAAACACTGCTTTCCTAGGGATTTTCTTTCGTTTCCTAAGGATTTGCTTGGTTTTTCCTGTGGAAAACACGATTTTCCTACGACTATTTCTGTTTTTTCTTTATTAATGTATGGCCTTCCGTCTTTCTTTATTTCTCTGTTTTTGTTATTTGGTTATTTCTTCATTGTTTGTTTTGTTTTTGTTTCTAACTCTCTTTGGTTCTTTCCTTGTGTTTTCTTTTTTCTTTCCTTATAGCTTTCTTTATTTACTTAGTTCTCTATTTTTGTTTTCTTTCTTTACTTATAGCTTTCTTTATTTTCTTATTTCTCTATTTCTTGCATGGCTTTCTTTCTTCCTTTCTTTATTTCTTTCTTTTTGTTCTTTCTTTCTTTCTTTCGTTATTTCTTTATTTCTTTGTTTCGTTCTTTCTTTCGTTCTTTCTTTCTTCCTTGCTTTCTTTCTTCCTTCCTTTCTTTCTTTCTTTCGTTCTTTCTTTCTTTCTTTCCTTCTCTCTCTCTCTCTGTCTTTCTTTCCTTCCTTTTTCGCCTTCCTTTCGCGGATACCCGTTTAATTTTTTTTGATCCTTATTTAATTTTTTTTGATCCTTATTTAATTTTTTTTGATCCTTATTTAATTTTTTTTAACCCCTATCCCGGGCTTCCACTTGGAAGCTAGACCAAAAGGTTCTTGACAACTCATGCCAAAGCAACGTCCTGTCCAAACGCCCAATGCGTCAACGTGTCACGATCAAGTTCTTGCACGTTGCCAATGTGGTCTTGCGCATTAGCAAGAACAAGCAGCATAACACGGCTGAGAAAACTCAATGCACCCAGTTGAGCCATGATCTTGCTGGAGTCGTTGGGTTTGTCGCCCCCCAAGGTCGAAGGCGCATGACCTCATCGAGCAGGCGCCTGATCAGGTAGGGCCGCGGGTTATGCTCCCGAGTCCAATCACGAAGGGCCCTGAGCTGCCACTCATCCAGGTCCAGCATCACTCGCACCCAGTTCCCAAAGCCGTCTTCGTCCGGTAGGCTACTCTTGATGCAGTCTGGCCAGATTCAAGAGCCCTTCCAGGGCCGGATTCAAGTGCGCCATACCCTTGTCATGACCCGGGCCAGCAGAACAAGGCAGTAGGGGAAAAAAACGGCTAGAATCTTCGGAAGGGAACCGAAGTATCCCTAGAAGGGGCTGGATACAAGGGAAAGGAGAACTTCTGAAGTCCCATGTTTAACCGTAAACCCTAAACTGCTCAACCCTGCAGCACTGCAGGAGGCCTTCATAAACCCTGGAACCGGAACCCGGTGAAATCTATGCATCCTGATCTCATGAAAACTAATCGTTGACCCTTAAATAAAGCCCTCAGCTTCATGTCAGTTGAGGCCGGGACAATCTCACAAGAGCTGAAGTTTTTTTTCTTTTTGAGGGCCTGCCCCCGAAATCTTAAAACCTAAACGCTCAACCCCCAACCCTGAACCCTAAACCCCAAACCCCAATTAGTCCCTAAACCCTGAATTTGGAGGCCCGGACTATGTGCGTGTTCTTGCCGAAGGTGCCTATGGCGGGCCTCAGCTGCTCTTTCGGGTTCCACTACGAGGTTTAGGGTGTAGGGTTTAGGCTCAGGGACTGGCAGCTAGGATTTTGGGTTCTAGGGGGTTCTTCTTCTATTAATTACCCTATACACAGCTTGCAGTACCCCGGTGGCAAGTACACAAACAAATAAACATACTCATTCATGTATATATATATATATGTATGTATGTACGTATGTATGTATGTATGTATGTATGTATGTGTGTATGTATGTATGTACGTATGTAATGTAATGTAATGTATGTATACACATGTACATATATATATATATATACACACACGCATGTGTATATACACGTGTATATACACATACATATATACACACACACATACATACATATTTACATGCATATACATATACATATACATACATGCATGAAACTCTAACCCTCAATCCTACACCCTCATCCCTAAACCCTAGAAGCCAAAGGAAACATGCCGAACCGTCACCGCACATGTACCCTATCCCCAAAAGCCCTGCACCCTCTGCCGGATCCATGGATTTTACGCACCGCATTTAGGCTCAAGGGTTTGGGGACTCGTTCAGGGACTGAGGGTGTGGGCTCAGGCTAGGGCTGTAGGATTCAAGTGATTATAATGGTTCAATTGAGATGGGACAGGCGCCTAACTTGTTAATTATCGCGGGCCCCCCACTTGCGACAACTTCCGCAACTCCGTCTCCGGTTGACAACAACCCGAAACAAACAAACCTCAACAGCCCCTAAATCCTGAACCCTTAACCCTACACCCCGAAACCCTAAACTCCTAAACCCTAAACCTTCAAAACTTCGGAGATGGAGCCAGTGGAGCTCCGCGTCAAGGAGTCTGAGACGCGCTGAAGATCCTCCACGTGCAGGATCTGCCAGCTGCTGAAGAAACAGCGGTAGTTGGGCTGTACCTCGAAGGGCGTCAGCTGCACGGGACGAAGACGAGTCTGCATTCCGTAAGCTGCCTCCGCCACGCTGCTGAGTTGCGCAGTGGGCCGAAGGGCCTTCCCATTGCGGCGGCACCTGCACCCTTCGCAGATCTCGACGATATGTGGCAGAAGGCATGTCTGCAGATCTTCCAGCTTACTTGAAATGTTGTCAGCAGGAACCACTGAAATTGGTGTTTGAACAATGCCGGGGCAAGTTTAAATATATTACAATAGATGAACTGACGGCGTTCACCCCCGCGTCCTGCAGGAAACACGCAGTTTTCGAGGTTTTTATTTGGGTTTCAAGGAGTTTTCCGTCTAGAGGCCTTTAGCACCAAACCATAAACCCTAAACCGAATGAACTAACTGTCAGCTAATTCTGATATCAGAAGACCTTGGGAAGATCAGAGGGTTTAGGGACTGAGGGTTTACCAGGACCCTTTCGAAGGGCCCTTTAATGTAGCCATATGTAGCCCTTATGATCCAAAATAGTGGGTATTTGGGGTATATTAGAGGCTAGTTGTGGGGTTAGGGTTTAGGGTTCAGAGTTGAGTCTTTTGGAGTTTAGGGGTTTAAGCTTTTAGAGGGTTAGGGTTAAGGGGTTTCGAGTTTCAGGGTTTGGGATTTTCGGGTTTAGGGTTCAGGGGTCTTGAGTTTAGCCATGTCGGTAAGAAAGCCTGATAGCTTCCTTTGTATCAAGGACGTTCAGTCCAGCGAAAAGCACTGCTACATCCCAACGAACCAAGCGCACCTGGCACTACCTGTACCCATCCCCGGTAGGGGTGTGTAATTATATTCGGTATATGGCATACATTAAGGCACTGCATGTGGGTCATCGAGGTTGAAGGCAGCGAAAGGCCCCGAAGCCTTATCCACCAAACCCCTAGGCCCTTAAACCAAAACCCTCAACCCTGAAGCCTAAACCCTAAACCTCACGAAGCCCCTAAACACTGAACCCCAAGAACTGAACCACAAACGGTTCAGGGTTCAGGGGCCTTACTACTTAGAATAAGCTTTAGGGGTACTTCTTTTGCCACATGTATGTACGGAGCCATCTTTCCTTTTTGATACTTAACGCTACCTTTGTGGCAGGACTCTAGGAGGAATGCGATTATTGACTATTCCGACCCCTATATAAACTCAGCTCGAGACTTGAGAATGCAGGGGTATTTCCTCGGCGCACAAGAAGGATGCTGTCTCGCTCAGGTTTCGGAGCCGATTTTAAGATCCCGGGCTCGGGCTTCGTGGCATCTGGATTAATATAGGTGCCCTAGTAGTCACCTATACTATTTTGGGGATTCCCTATTATGATTGTAGTAAGTAATATAATCTAGCTCCAAACCCTATTCTGATTATTAAGGTTCCTGCATGTGGGTTTTAAGCGCGAGGCGTTCAGATCTACGGGGCCTCCAAGGAACTCTAGGTGTTTGTTAGTGCACGGCTTGAGTGCTTTTGAATCCGGGCACTGCCAATCCAAACTACTATAAGGGCTACTATGAGGGTTCTTTCAGAGCTACAAAACGGGCTACGATAAGGGTGCCCTCAACCCTAAACCCTACTATAAGGGCTACTATAAGGGTACCCTCAACCCTAAACGCTACTATAAGGGCTACTATAGTGAAACCTAGCCTCGGCGTTTGTATCGAAGTGCGAAGTGCAGGGTCCTGAGCTTGCAGGTACCTCCAAGAGAACTGCACGATCCCAAGACCACACATCCTTGACGCTAAACCCTCGCATCCTGCCACTAAACCCTCAACCCCAAACTGAACCCTAAACCCTCAACCCCAAACTGAACCCTAAACCCGAAACCCCAAACTGAACCCTCAAACCCCAAACCCCAAATGCTACACCCTGAACTCTACGATCCTCACCGAGCTTCTCTACTCGGCAACCTTTGGCTCTCGGCCTCAAAACCCTACCCCAGCTCCGTGTCTTACTGGTGAGGGGGCCTTAATAAGTAGACTACGGTTTTGGGTTACTTTCAGGATCGTTTTGCTGGGCATTCAAGGGCAGCTGGACCCTTTTCCCGGCACCTCAGGTGCAAGCCCCGAGCCGCAAATCCAAACCCTATGTAAGTAACCCTCCGGCAAAGCACAGGCTTTTCGTTGTTCAGGGTTTAGGGGTTTGGGGGTTTGAGTTTACGGATTCGGGCTTAAGGGTTTAGGGTTCGATTTTAGCTAGGACTGCGTAAGTCAAAATCGCTAGACTTCAGCACATCTCTCGGCTTCGGGCGCTTCTGAGAAAAACTCGTAGTGCTCAGGCAACAAGGCCAGCAAACCTTCGCATGGATGCGGCGCTGAGACCCCAAAGGTCATATTCAAGGAAGATACCTCAAACCATGTCATATTCAGGGAACATAGCTCAAAGCATATATGTGCTCAGCATCCGTTTGGCCCTAACTAAACGGACAGGCCACCGCCTGGCCTAACCAGACTTGGGAAAATCGAACCAAAGGTCGTGACAAAGCGCGGGGTAAAAGCTGCCATTCAACATCGCCGGGAACAATAACCTGATTGCTTTGGGAGTTAGGATTAGGGGGACCCTTGGGGATATAGACCCTCTCAATAAGGCCCCTTTTAAGAGAGCCAGAAGTAGGGTTCAGAAGGGGTACCCTTTAAGGGGTCTCCCTAATAATACTACCTATACTTCGGTGTAACACAAAAGCAAGAGCTTACTAGTGAAGCGATCAGGAAAGTGCTCTCAAAGGTTTGCTTGGTGAAGTCTTCTGCATCATAGTAGTTTGAGGGCTGTGGGCTCTGGGTTTAGGGTTTGGGACTTCCCCACGCCGCAGAACGGCCCAGCTTTGTGCAGAATGCTCTTCGGATTAGGTCGCGGTAGCAAAACCTCCCCCCACAAACCCTACCCTGCTTCTAAGGACGCTGCCAAGCTCTTCAGCGAGTTTGCGCAGCTTTCCCTGACGGCGAGGGTGGCTACACATCTTCAAAACCCATCGCAGAGGTTGGTTTCGCATTTGGGACATATGTTCGGGTTTAGGATGATTTAGGGCTCCATGAAGGGTTGCACTCAGGGCTACTGCCAGGTACCTTAGGCTTGCTATGGGCACTGGTATGCAGATATGGTTCCAAAGTCCTACAAAGTGAAGCATCTGCACGCTCGGTGTTTGCAAGTATGTACGAGCAAAACTTTTTGTTACCCTTCATAGAGCATAGTTGCGTGAGGGCGTCAAAGGGGGGGCGTTTAAAGGCTACATCAGCCTTGTAAAATCAACTGGGGTTTAAATCCACTGACATCAGGAACGAACTTGTTGGCTTGACCGTGGATCGTGAACCGCGAAACAGCATGAAGCCAGACTCCCTTGCCTCCTATGATCGACAGGATTCCACAGTCTGGCCAGCGGCAAGTCCTAAAAGCTCCCTTGAGCACAATTCCTCCCAAAGTTCGATGCGAACAAAGATGCTCCAAGATGTAGTTGCGCATAGGCTCCATACTAGTTCCTTTTGGGGATTACCTTTTAGGAGTCTAAGTATGATCCCCAAAAAGGAACTACTATTCAGCCTCTAGGCAGTTATGGGAGTTTCCGAATCTAGGGGACCTTAATTAATATAGCATCCTAAAGAGTAGGATCCTTGTTATAAGGCCCCGGGACCTCCTACATCAAGCGTGCCAGTGCGTGGACCGGGCTGCACCACCACGAAATCGTGTAAAGTCGAGACAACCTCGTCGCCTTAAAAAAAACCCTTCACAAACCAAATTAGCCCAGAACCACACTATCCCTGAACCCCGAAATAGACCTGCTCCAGGAATATAAAAAAACATGCAGTCTGCAAAAAAGGCAGCTGCCTTGGGATTTGTGCAGCCCCAGGATACTGCAGCTGGGGCATCGAGCCGTACGTTCTAAAGTTTAGGGTTTAAGGTGATACTATCGACTCCTTGCTAGTCAGAATATGGGGCTTTGGGTACATTAGAGTATTCTTACGAGAAGGAACTCTTGGTCTGAACAGCCAGGGACACGAGCTCCAGATCTTGCATGATCTCTACATAAACGCAGCATAATATACGCCAACACCCAACTCTACTGATATCAGAGCCACAATGAGAAAGAACCCTGTACTACACAACCCTTATGAAGGGTCCCCTTCCTGCCTTGTTGCGGAGGATGTCCTGCCAGTCGCCACAAAACACCAATAACACCAAACCCTAAAACCCTAAAACCCTGAACCCTGAAGACTAAACCCTTAACCGACCCTGAACCTTAAACCCGCAACACCGAAGAGAAGATATAGGGCTTCTCTCCACGTAAGTACCAGTAGTTTCTATTGGACTTATGTGTTACCAAGGCACTAAGAAATGCATGGTCGGGCTAAGGGTTTAAGGGCTCCGTTTAGTAAGGTGTTAATAGTGTGCAGTACATGGCTTTTCTACGGTCCATGTGCCTATACGGGTGTTTCCGAAAATTAGGGGTACCTTATTTCGAAGGCCCCTTATTAATGAGGATCCTACTGTTTAGGGGACTATTCTAAGGATCCCCTACTTTCGAAAGCTCCCATATAGTAACTCATTTCCAGACTGTGGCCTGACAGGGGCTCCCATAAAGGTACTTCAGGCTTCAAGCTTGTCCTTTGAGTGTAGATGGACCCTTAGGCATGTTGAGACAAAGGGGCTTGGAGTGGTGGGGGTTCTATGCTAAGCAAGGAAGACCTACCGATTAGTGATGCCGAGCCTCAGCAGCAAACCCGAGGTGCTACATGCAACCCTAGGATTTCCACCAAGGTTCTTCTTAAAGGATCCAATTTAAGTTACCATGATACGGAAACCAAATTATTAACTGCGGATCCCTATTATGGTAACTGAAGCTGACATCCTCTAACAAGAACCCAGGGTTTAGGGTTTCAGGTGAATGAAGTTTTATGTAAGCGTCGAGCCTGAACCCAAACATCTGACACTGAAGAAGCCCATGACAACTCACATAGTCCAACCACTGACAAAGTTGATGTATGAGCAAATACCGTAGGGGCGTCATTAGCAGGGCCTTTCAGGTATATCTCAGTATTGTCATAAAGCAGGAACTCAAAAGAATGGTCTTACTGATGTGTCACGCTTCTACATTACCTACTACCTCAAACTGGGAACCCTCAGGCCCCCTAAACCCTGTTTAGGGTTTAGGTTTTTGGGTTT